CTTGCCTTCTTCGCTCTTCTTACTCTCGCTCGTTTCAAAAAGAATCACTTTTCGATACCATTTCCATACAAGTATTCGTTCCATTTTTGTTTTCTGTTGTGACTAAACCGTTATTTGAGTGTTCACTGAGTTTAAAGGGGTGGTGCTCCTGATAAATTAACAACTGGTGCATAATCTGAGGCTTGTGTGGTTGGTTCGAATTCGCCTGCGAGAAATCTACCCCAGTACATTTGTCGATTTGTTTCAGCAATAAAAAAATCAGAGCTAGTGCAGTCTGTACCCTAACTGAAAAAACAACCGGTCTTTAGCTTACTTCTCGGAAAAGAAAACCAAGTGTTTGCTCGGCAAGTGTTTGCTGTTTTCAGAATGCCGTGACCTCGATCCCTCGGAGTGCTTAAGGAATAAAAATTATACATAACGCTAGTATTTCGAGCCCATTTATCTCAGGATCATTTACTGATAACAAAAAAACAAAAATAGATTTTGTTTGAATTTAAATAATGACTTATGCCGGTATAAATAAACAGCCTGTTCTCTTCGAACGTATAAAATTTTTCGTGTAGGAGCTGAAAAAAGTGTAAGAAACTGAGTCAGTTACTGCAAAAATTAGCAGCTGAAGGCGTTAAATTTAGGGGGATTCCACTTCGAAAACGCCACAGCGCTAAACTAACAAAAAAATCCTAGCAAGAAGTAACAAAAACAATGAAAGACGATGGAATTGGACTGCGCTTGCTTTGACTGTTTTTCTAAAAATTTTATGGATGAACACTTCGTTCTTCTGTACTTTTCTTTTTTAGCTTCTATCTCTCTGACGTGAATATCTAAAGTGCCCACTTCTGGTATTCGCCATTTTGTCGTAGTGTGAAAGTACATCAGTGGCTAGAAAATTAAATGATTTGCTGCTTCCTCTCATTACTTTGGCTTCCGCCGATCAGCTTTATCATCACTCCCATGAGATCGCAACCTGAGAATACAAAAGAAATAACGAGCCTCCAAGTTTATTGTTTTGCACAAGGGCATAAGTACGGAAGCCATCTTTTAGCCTTCTAGCTCACGTACTTATGAAGTGCTAATTCATGCGAATTCACAAGCAGGCAAGCAAATTATTGCGAAATACGCATCCAGGTACGGCTTTGCCTCAACTGCGCTTTCCAGCCTCAAACGCCGCAAACGTATCTGCTGGTTCCAAGCTTCTGACTAAATTTTCGTTCATAGGTCAAGTGCTGAGAATAGCTATACCAGGCTTAAATTTCCAGATGGATCACATTGTGATGCGGCAAATTTTCCTGGCTTTTTTCACGCTCAGTGCGATATTCGCTGAAGATCAGGATACATTCTCTCAACAGTTTCGTAAGCAGTGCAGTGAATCAAGTTTGTGCCAGTTTTTCGAAGTACTGAATGACCTGAATGACGAAAGTACAAGCGAATGGAGTATGCTAAAATGTGAGTCAACTTTGCTCCACTAGAATTAAGTTTGCCTAAATGAGGCAAGCTAATGTTCAGAATCTGCATATATATATA